ATTTATGGCATTTTCCTGTGATCCACACCTTACGGGCAAATGCTATACACCAATGGAGGGAAGAGGTTCCATAATCGGATTAGCTGATTTCACAGTTATTTTGATTTCATCAGTTTCTTCTACTCTCCTGGGCGCTGCCCTTCTCTAAGGCCAGTATTCTAGAATAACTACCTAGAGTACCAGAAAGCGGGGCGGGGAGGAGGAGGAACCGGACGTCAGGAGTTGGTGATGAAGCCCTAGCAGTCAGGTGCTCGTCTGGGACTGTCCCCACGGCACCCTGTTCAGAGTCAGCTGTTGTCGGTGCGCATCCTGAGATTTCTTTGCTCCCAGGCGGCAAGCACAGCCATGTCGATGGAGTTTAATAACCATGGGAACCGGCCCTCGTGGGACCCAACCCCTTCGCTCAGGGCCCGGCTCCGCAGATGCGAGCTGAGTGCACCGAGTCCCGAGCCGGCCTGCGCCCCTTCCCGCCGGCGCCCGGTCGCTGTCCGACTGCCGCGGTTACACTTCCATGGTGGGGCCGGTACCTCCCGGAGAAAAGCGTGCTTTGCCACAGCTTGGTCCGAGCGTTAGCGTGAGTCATAACGAAGACTTCAGTCTTTTGAAAGCAGATTTGCCAAAATCAACCCGAAGTCTTTATCTGCGTACGCCCGTCTCCAGCCGCAGCAGAAATGATATCATGATGATACACGTTCCAGTTTCCAACCCGTTTCCTGACATTACCTGGTTTACTCTCAGCAGCTTTGTGAAGGAGCTGTTTTTTCCAGCTTTTGAAGAGTCTGAGGCTAATGACTTTCTCTCAGGTCACACAGCAAGTAAATGTCAGGGCTAGAACCCGAGCCCGGGCCTGCTTGGTTTTAGATCCACTTTTTCCACTCTCAGCGCGGTCGCCTGAGTAGGCACGTAGAGCCCAGGAGGCCAGGCCTTCTCCAACGAACCGCCGCGTGTGATGGACAGTGTCTGCTGTTTGCCTCTAAGAAGTCTAAAAAAAAAAACGACTAAAATGTTGGAAAGTAAAACCTAAAACAAAAAGTAGGGAACCAGATTATTCATCTGGAAGAGGACGGGCGAAAAGTGGCGTAGTAACAGTCAAGGTCCCACGTGGGGGGATCGGGCCCAGCTGTTCTTAATCGACACCGAGGCAGGGCCCAGGCAGAGGAGGGAAGAAGACAGGTCGAGCTGTGACAGGGGTGAGAAGGAATTCTCTGAGAGCAGGGATTGGTGAGTGTTGGGCTGGGCGGAGAGTGTGTTAAGCCTTCTCTTCTGGCAGCTGTCAAGAATTCCTGTCTTTACTCAGTGTTCTTAAGTATGATTTCTCCAGAAACGGGGGATTTGAAATACACGGTTTCTCCAAGAAACCACTCCCTCTGAGGAGTTTTTCACCAAATGTGAGTGAGGTTCATGTAGATGCTCTCAGTGTTCAGTTATGCGCCCGTCATTGTAGTAAATTCTGTAAGACGATAAGATAATCATCAGCCACAATCTGAAACTGACTGCGACTCTACTAGTTAAAGACACGTAAATTGGCGCAACTGGCCCTCCAACGCAAGCCATATACCCCGGCTGAGACTCAACCAAAAAATGATAGCCATCCATCCAGCTCAGCATGGGGGTGTGAAGAGAGAGGGAACTGTCATGTTGGACTTAATATCCGTGTCCAGTGCGGTCGGGGCTTTCAAGAGCTTTGACCGATCGTCCCTCATCTTGCTGACCACAGAATATTAATACTGGGCAAGAAGCAGATGTGTGGACACTATTCCAGTAGAAGGCTTACAAATACCATATTCTCGCATGCCATGAATAACTGGAGTGTTGCGTGACAAAAACTAAACTAGGTATCAAAGTCACTTTGTAGGTGGCAGGTGCTTTGAGAAGTAAGTATAAGATGAGACTCTTCCCTTAACTAGTTCATGGTCAAGTTAGGAAAAGATGTACCAACGTGACTGAAATCACAGTACAGATGGTTGAGGGCTCAAGCGGGTGGCACAGACACTTTCCGTCAGAGTTAAAAATGGTGATGGTGGGAGCTGGGGATGGTTCTGAAGGTTCGGTGCAGGATGCTGACAGTTGGAATGGGAAGGGCAGATACATAGTCGAGCGTGGTGGGGGTCGGTGGTGGGGGAGATAAGTGTTTTAGGGGTGTGAGAGAAGACAGGCAGGACCGAAGGGTGCTCTGGAATTTAAGGCTCTCTGGGGAATGACAGGTGAGATGGTCGCAGAGGTGGAGACAGTTGGCCTACGATTGTACCTGAGAAGTTTGTGCTTTATCCCAGGGGTAATCATGAGGTGAGAAAGAGCTGATTTAGGATGTCAGGGGAAATAATTTTGTAGATTTGGGTTCACTTACGAGATTTTTAAAATAATGTTTTAGGTTTTTTTCTCTTAATTATATAAATGTTATAGGTTAATTAGAGAAAATTTGTGAACTGTAGAAAAGTGGGGAAATCTTACTCATTGATAATGTTTTTGCACGAACTTTGAAATGTTTGCCCTACGGGACAGTTTTGGAATTCTGGGAATTGGCTCTGAGACCCCGTGGCGCCATCTCCCTCTGGCATTGCTCCAGTTGCCCATTTACCGCCTTTCTCCCTTGCAGCCCTTGGCCGGGGTCCTTACGTGAGAACCAGGACAAGTTTTTATCTGTGTCGCAAGCACCTCTCAGGGCTGAGATGTACTGATGCGCACAGAGTTCGTGGATTCCGTGAATGGTCCCTGGTCTCACAAGGACCACTTAGCAGAAGGAAGGGGGAGGCCTGAGTCCACGCGAGGCTCGAATAGCCTCTCGATGCAGGGACGAGAACTAACCAGACATGAGGAGGAGGGCTGTCATGCAGCTTTGAGCTGGTTGGGTGATAGGCCAAAAACTTACCAATTTTGCTTTGAAATGAACTAGCCCAGTCATTCTCAGCATGACCAGAGAACTTCTTAGAACTGCAGCTTCTTGGCCCCTGTTCCGGGCCTACTGAATCAGACACTCTGGAACTGAGACACCACAACCTAACAAGTCCTCCGAGTGACCGTGATAAACGCTCAGATTTGAAAACCATTCAACTGGAAGGACAGGGACCACGGGACTGCGGTGTTGAGGACCACAGCACAGGAGGGTGGAGAGCCCAGGTGTGCAGTGTCAGTGAACATGGCCATGAGGCGCCGCGGTAGCTGAAATAGGAAACACGAAAATCCGAGAGGAAAACTACGAATGCGAGATTATGTCATTGGAAAGAAAATTAAACGCATTGTAAGTGGGCAAGATCCATTGATCTTGTTCCGATCACTGCCTTCCTGAGCTTAACATTTAACTTGATTTGAGATAGATTAGTCCCATGAGATGCTCAACATCCCCTCCAGATTTTCTGTCCCATATCCACATAACTGCCCGCCGAACTGTCCACTTAGCTGGCTCCTATCTCGAATCTCCAAAACTACGTGTATATATTATCTTTCCCTTCAAACCCACATCTCAGCATTTCCTGTTTCAGAGAACTGGATTGTCATCCACTCAATGACTGATGCCAGTTATTCTTGGCTTAAATCTCACGAAATCAGGTCCGTTCTACCACATCATGGCATCCAGAGGCCCCTATTTCTCTCCGTCTCTGCTGATGCCTTTCCAACATAGACCGTCAGTTTCTCACTAGATCATTTAACACTCCTTTAACAATCACCTTACTTGGTCTCCATGTCACCGATCTCGAAGCCTCAAATCCACTCCGTCAGTTCTTAGCATGGCCAGAGCAAGCTGCGTAAAATGAAAATTTGATTAATTCTTTGCTTACAACTACTCAGCGGCTCCCTGTTGCATCTCGGTGAAGGGCAGCCTTCTTCACGTGGCGCTCAGGGCCTAAGGGGTCGGTCGGTCTCCTGCTTTCTTTTCCAGCCTTATCTTTTGTCCTTGCACCTGCTCTTGCCTCTGCCCGGAATAGCATTCTGCCCTTTCTTCACCAGCCTGATGACACTGCCGACCCCATGGGTGGCTGCTGAGGCTGCCTCTCCGTGACGCTGTCCCTGACCTAAGCTCTGGCTGAGAGCACTGTGCATGAATTTCCCCTTGCGTATCGCTGGTCACACCGCCCCGTAATTGCCCGTTTGTTATTTTATATAGCACATTCTCACCCCAACCGTCACCCCACTACAATATTGTCCCAAATGGGTTGAGACTGTGTGGTCTACCTTTCTATATCACTGGCTCTGGCACATTAACTGGTCAGTAGCAGATGCCCAACAAACCGATGTTGAAATAAGTAATAATCCACAGTCTGGTCATTTGGAATAGTTTTAATGCATGGGAATTTCTATTTTGTATCCTTCGCCCACCCGAGACACTTTTCTCTTCACTGACCCATTCACTTAGTGTTTGTAGGATGCATTCTGTGTGCCAGGCGCTGTGCTGGTTGCTAAGATTCAACTGTGACGAGTCTCAATGTTTGCTATAGGGCTTATCCTCTAGCGAAGGAAATAGACAATTAAAAAGTAGTTTGTGTACCATACATAATACATCGAAATAATTTACTACAGTATGTGAAGGCGTAGAAGGAGGAAGAACAGAGTACTAAGAGATCAGCCAGAAGAGGCTGCTAACCTACATTTAGAGAGTCAGGAGGAAGCGATGCCTCAATCAGTACTTACACACCTAGCATGCGTCTTTCAGTTAAAGAATGGGAACATACTTTTCCAGGCGAAGGGAGCGGGCAGTAAAATGCCACTACTATACCAGAGAAGGGCACTTATGCCTAGAGGTCAGAGCATCAGGCAGGAAAGCGATCTGTGGGGAGGTCTGGAGAGGCCTGTGTTTTCGGAAGGCTGCATCGTGGGGAGGGCGCAAAGGTAGGATGGGATCTGGGGAGACAGGGAGCGAGGGGTTCAGGGAGAGGCTTGCGGGGCGTGGGGGTGTGAATGGCTTAGAGAAATATTTTCAACCAAGCACGGACCCTGGGGATTAATTAGCTTTGTGGAGAGAGGAAGGAGAACTCTGTCCTGACGCCCTTCTTTCTCCCCTGCAGCTCCTGGCTGGTGTGAGGCGAGGGACCTGGAGCCAGAACCACCTGCTGTGGGCCGTGATGTCTTGAGGGAGCTGCAGGCAGGGGAGGAAGGGGACACCGGCCCAGAAGGCGCCGCACGCACGGTGAGAAGCACTGAGGGCACTCAGCCTGCTATTCAGTAGTCATTCTTGTTTCCTGTACTCAAACTTGTTATCCATGTAGTCTTCTGCCACTGAGTCATCTAGGCGCCATGGGTGATTTTAAATCTCCCCTCTTGAAAAGCTCTGATTGTCATAGATATTCCAGTTTCAAGAAGGACAGCTTTATTTTAGGATACACTTTCCGGTCCTTTTGCCTTCTAACGGATTGCATTTAACATCTTTTTAGTATAAATCATAAAGTAATAGAATTTGAAAGGACTCGAAGGTCATGTTCTCTCCAGTCCTCACTTTAGAAGCGAAGGAACCGCGGCAGAGGTCAGGTGAGATGGCTCGTGTGAGACCGCAGAGCCGGCGGTGGCCGTGAGCGCCAGCGGGCCCCTGCCGCTGCGGCTAGCTTTTCTTTCTGTCATGCCTCGGGCCTTTCGAAGGCCTGGAGGTCACGATCAAGTTCAGGTTCAAAGGCCTAGCGGTCACAATGGAGTTCAGGTTCAAAGGCCTGGAGGTCACGATCAAGTTCAGGTTCGAAGGCCTGGAGGTCACGATCAAGTTCAGGTTCGGAGGCCTGGAGGTCATGATCAAGTTCAGGTTCGAAGGCCTAGAGGTCACGATCGAGTTCCAGTTCGAAGGCCTGGAGGTCACGATCAAGTTCAGGTTGGAAGGCCTGGAGGTCACAATCGAGTTCCGCACATTGAGGGCCCATTTTAGAAACAATGTAAATGGACCTCAGCGTAGTTCCCATCTTCCAGCTCATTAATAAACAGTGAAACGTCTAACTGGTCTGTACCCTCCATGACAGCAGAGGCCACTGCGTGTTCTCGTCACACCGGCTCGCCCATATAGGCATTTCATAAATGTGTTTTGAATCAGCCAGTCATACCTAGCTAACAACCAACTTTTTCCATTTTATTTCAAAAGATTTTTGTCCCTGTAGCACCAGTTTTTTTCCTTAGTGTATTTGTGAAATGATCTTAGGATACGTTTTTACGTCATGGTTTTCTTGGAAAGTGTATGAGGTATACCTTTTTATTAATAAAGACATTTCTGCGTTCATGGTGCCTCGTGCTAGTATTTCTGCAGTCGCTGATAGAATAATAAACACTTGTCATTCATTATGTGTTTCTCCTACCGTCCTTTATAAATACAGAGGAGAGTCAGAGACTAGGTGAAAAATATAACTTTGGGGTCGGTAGAAGTACCAGAAATGAAACCGAGGTCTTTACGTCCCGCCTGTTGCTTGTGCCATGAGGTTTATTGTATGTATTAAGCTCATGCATTTTTCTCCATTGTTCACGTGGCTCTTCAGCCTCCGAATTGTCAGCTTCGGAGTTTCATTGTCTCCCTGCTACAGCATCTGTCCGAGGAGGATTACGAGGCGGTGCATCTGTGGCTGTAGGATGCAACTTGCTAAAACCTGTTACTCCTTTGATGAGGAGGGCCAAGAAGAAAGAAAGGGAGGGAGGGAGGCGGGGAGGAAGGAAGGAGGGAGGAGAGAGGGAGAGAAGAGAAGAGAAAGAAGTTCCCAGTAAGAAGTGACCGTTTACTGTGCCGTGTCGACACTTCTGAAAGGCCCCTCTTCTGGGTGTGCCGTGTCACTGTGCGTCACCATTTTCCAGGGGTAGGTTGAGGAGGTGGCACAAGATCGCCGCTGTCTGACGTTTGCTGATTGTTCTTTCTCCTAGAGACCTTGGGAGAAGGCATGGCTTCCAGAGAGGAGAGTAAGAGCGCGCACAGGGTGCTGAGAATAAGTCAGCTGGATGCACTTGAACTCAACAAGGCCCTGGAGCAGCTGGTTTGGGCCCAGTTCACTCAGTGCTTCCACGGATTTAAGCCCGGGCTGTTCGCGCGCTTCGAACCAGAGGTGAAAGCGTTATTGTGGCTTTTCTTGTGGAGATTCACCATTTACTCTAAAAATGCCACTGTGGGCCAGTCCGTTTTGAATATTCGGTACAAAAACGATTTCTCCTCGAACCCGAGGTATCAGCCACCGAGCGCGAATCAGAAGGTCTGGTACGCCGTCTGCACCATCGGGGGGAGGTGGCTGGAGGAGCGATGCTATGACTTACTTCGGAACCGTCACTTAGCGTCGTTCGGAAAAGCCAAACAGTGTGTGAATTTTATGGTTGGACTTTTGAAATTAGGTGGGTTGATGAATTTCTTGATTTTCCTTCAAAGGGGCAAGTTTGCAACTTTGACAGAGCGTCTCCTAGGCATCCGTTCAGTATTCTGCAAGCCCCAGAGGGCGCGTGAAGTTGGCTTTGAGTATATGAACAGGGAACTTCTCTGGCATGGTTTTGCCGAGTTTCTCATTTTCCTCTTACCACTCATCAATATCCAGAAGTTGAAAGCCAGGTTATCTTCGTGGTGTAGCCCTCTTCGTGGTGCCCCTAACAGCGACAGCACAGTAGCCGCCAGAGGCAAGCAGTGCTCCCTGTGTGGGGAGTGGCCCACCATGCCCCACACCATAGGGTGTGAGCACGTCTTCTGCTATTACTGCGTGAAGAGCAGCTTCTTATTCGACATGTCCTTTACGTGTCCTGCGTGTGGCACAGAGGCACACGGCGTGCAGGCGCTGAAATCGGGGATCGAGATGTCCGAAGTGAATGCTGTTTAGAAAGTAAAATTGTTTCTTCTGAGGAAAACTGCATTATGTTGAAATTCTTAATAATAGTCATCCTGAGTACACCGCTTGGGTGTCTCTGAGTGCCTGTGCTCCTCTGTCCTCTGTTCCTTGCCAGGCGTGACTAAATCCCAATCACCGGGATCCACGTGAGTCTAAATATATTCTGTATGTTTCTTAATTATTGCATTCATTATTCTTTAATTTAATTTAATTCATTATCCTTTAATGTCAAGAATAATGGACAGTTTTGTCAGATGACTACTAAGAATGTTCCCTCATTTTGCTCCTTCGTAGAAAAAGGTTAGACTAAAAGTAAACGATTTTGGAGACTCTGGGATGAGTGTGCATTTATTTTTGGAGATGGTGTTACAGCATCATAGTCTCACAGTGATAAGATCTGTCATTTTAAACCTTACGATCCGGTGGCCTGGTTGTAATTCTGAGCTTTTCTCTGGAGCCAGTTCGTGACGGGCTCTGTGGGCTCCGTTCTCAGGCAGAACGATGTCACCGGAAGCTGATGACATGTGTTCTGCCAGCCTTCTGCCCCCTGGAGTCCGAGCTTCTTGCCTAGAATTCGGCGGAGTCCAAGCGCCCCCTCCCCACGGCTAGGCGGCAGGGTCATCCTCAGAGGAGAAGCTGGGTGGCTGTCTTCACGCGTGTCACCTTTAGTGCTCTCTCCCCATTGTTTTTCTGTATAGTTTCTCTTTTTTGGTTTTCCTTGCTCATGAGAATACTTGGCAGGCGACACGCCAGCAAAGCTCTACTCGCGAGCTGGCCCCTCCAGTCCCCATTGACAGGCCGCTTCACTTGGAATAGAGTTCCGGTGAACTGTCACCAGCCAGTTAAAAGTAACAGGTAAGAGGGAGGCAGAAAACTAGGTTAAGCAGGTGTGTTTACAGTAATAAGAAATAATAAAACCGGGTATCAACTAAAAAGAACTAAAAAAGGAAAACTATAATCTGGTGACATTTAGAGTAGGGACACCAGGCTCTGAGGACTAACAGAACAGTAATTGTGGTTTAAAAAGTGATTTCAGATCATCAGTCTGTATCATTTGGTTAAGAAGGCGGGGACATTAATATATTCAAGGAAGCCTTCAAAATGAGTCGGCAATTGAGGACAAAAACTGGTTCATTTGGGACATTTGCTTTTAACAAAAAGCTATTTTTCCTAACAGCACTCGTAAGTGAAGTGTTACTGTATTACGAAAAGGTATTTTCAGCAACAGAACAATTCCAGACGTACTTTTTAGGCACATAGATCAACTGTATTGTCTGTAGAACTGGCTCTCGACGGCCCGCTGCAGAGAAACCGAATGCGTAGTGTGCATATTCACCACAGGCGAGCCGGCAAGTATTTCGCTTGTATGTCTGCTGTTTTTTTCTTCAAAGAGCACATAAATCATGAAACAACACAATATGCCTTCAGGTTTCTAGGCTGTCTCTTATTTTCTCCTAAAATTTTTGAGAAAAAGCTTATGGTTCTAAAATGTCATCTACAAAAACCAAGTGAGCACCATTTTGCACAACGGCCTTCATGGAGTCCCGCCTGGAGCTGTCATCTTGGCAATGAAAACAAGTCCAATGAGGTGGAACCAGGTCCTGCCCGAGGCAGGAAATGCAGTCCAGAACCCAGTACGTGGGTCACTTTCCTTCTCAGTAGCAGGAGGCTAACGTGTCTTCAACAGGGTCACCTCCTTCCTTTGCCGAAATCCCCAAAGGCAATAAAACATAAATCTACTTAGTTAAGCTGATTTTAAAAGCAGATGGGTGTGGAAATGTTTGTATCTATGGACCTTAAGAACTTATCTCAAGGAGATGGTAAGAATTTGGATATGGATTTACTGAAGTGTTCAATATGGCACTGTCTATAATAAAGATATGTTTCAACAATAGGGGAATAAACGAAGTAGGACAGCTATTTAATTGACTCAAGAATGTTATATAAATGCCATGGAAAATAATGTTATGCAAAAATATATGTGAATAATTTTAATGCAAAAGTGTGCAATACAATATTTAAAAGAAGTAGTATATTACATACTATATGATCTGAACTATGAGATAAACAGGCATATGTTTATATTTAATAAAATGTTTCTGGGTAATTCAACTTTGATTTTTTTCTTTATACTTTTCTATATTTCTCAAATTTTCTACAACGAGCATATCATACTTTTTAATTACACCAAAACAAGTTATTTGTCTCTTTAAAATCTTGTGGCCAATTTTGTTTCAATTCAATTCAGAGAAAACATCTGCATAGTTAGTAAACAAATCTCAGGTATATGAATTTGGGAGCTGTAAGATGCTAAAACCCAGAGAGTACCTATTTTTGCATTACAATAAATAAAGCCTGCCTTTATGGCCAACCACAACTATTGAAAAAGTCTGAATTATTTCATACAGTTCAAATTACATATTAAGTCTGACTCCATATAGCAGATACATTTTTTAACCACTCAGATGCATGTAGGCATCAAAAAGATAAACCACACCTTCAAAAAGCACTTGTACAGTATTTGTAAATGTAGTTTAGTTAACTTTAAAATATCTAGAACTAGTACACCAGATCAAAGCAATTGACACAAATACTTTATATTATCAGTTCACCTAAACCTATAAGATAACAGTATTTTCTGAACTAGAGATCAAGACACAAGGTCTGATCCAGGATTTTGTATTTCTTCCAGATGTGGTCGTGAAAATGCTGACATTTCTGAGGTATTTTATGGTTCGGTTGCCAATAAGACTTAATGCAAACTTGAACTTCAGCTGAGACTTTATCTAAATAGTCACAATTCTGAATCGGAGGAGCCAGGGGCTTTACTGTTCTGAGGGGTGCAGGATGGTCCCCCGTAAATGTCTCACTAACCCATCAGGAAATAGCATCCTCTTCTGACAGCCTCTGTTCTTTAAAATCCACACCAATTCAAGTGCTTTTTCAGTCGACCAAAATTATAAAAAACTACACTGTGGTTAATTACTTTAAAAAGGCTTAATGCCAGACCAAATGCAAAGGGCAAATAAATTCTTTGAAAGCAAGAACCCCCATGCAATATTGCATGTGGTGTTCCTTAATGCCCCTTCTCAAACCGACTAGGTTATTCCTTAGTTTAGATGACCGTCTTGCTCAAACGGCAAAATAGATTGTGAGCTCTGTGAGAACAGAGGCTATAGCTAGCTTGCTCTCTCTTTTTTTTCCTTTTGGTGTCATTATTGCCAAAAACAGTGACTGGCATAATTCAGATGCTTAGCTGGAGAAACGAGAGTTTGGGGTTTGATAGGAAGGCCGCCCCCAATATTGAAGAGAGCAACCGATAGCATCATTGTAGAAGACTCCCACATGCATTTCCATGGCAGCTTGGAGAGGCCAGCGCCCCCAATTTGTCTTCGTAGTGTGTCTTAGGGGTGCCATTTTTAATTTAAAATGTTCTGTAGCATTCTTGCTTTGAGGGAAAACGCAGTTGGAATTCAGGAGCACAATAAGAGAATAACTTTTTTGAAAATACATGCCATTTTGGAGCTGTCAGTTTCAGCTATGTCTCTTTAAATACTTTTTCTTCTAGAACCCAACTGGGTAGATGAGATTTTTTTTTTTTTTTAATTCTATTATAGAAGTAATAGCCCTGTTTTGGTGTTTTGTAAGCAGATAATATTCTGCTAGTGACTGTCTTGCAGTAATGCATTGCTCTGAATTCTGAATTCTATTATTTTACATCTACAGCAGCTTAAAGTGTATTTTTTATAAACAGCAAACTTCACCTCATAAAAATTCATTACATACGGGTATAAACAAGTGTTCTTCCTTCTAGTCATTGGCAGTAAGTGATTCATCAAGTTTTCCACAGAAAACCAATTTCATTGCAGATGTTCTGTAATTTCCAATCTCCATGAATCGTGAACCCAAATCACACAATCCCAATGCAAGGAATGTAAGGATTTTTTTTTTAAGGTCTGTGCTTACTTAGTCTCTTTACTAGGACTGAATATCATTTGTTGTCTCATCAGATTAATTTTTAAAAAATTAATTAATAGTCTCCCATTTGTTTCTTTCCTGCTTTTGTTGATCCCACACATGAATGGGTAGCTGGTATAAAATTCAAAGCCTACAGATGAATTGATGTAGGAAGACAATAAATTCACTCCTTTTCCCCCAAGTCAAACTAGAAATATTAAGAGAAACGAAATTTTCCCAAGTCTAAATCGTTTTTTCTTACTAACGTTTATTCTCACTCTTTTCAACCCCACGGTGAAGGAAGGGTGTAGGGGGCTGTGGAAAACAGAACAGTCCATCTTTCTGTCAACTACTAAGGATGATCCTTGCGAAAATTACCTCCACTGACACTTGTGGTTTTGTCCACTGTTTCAAAGTCGACTAAGGGAAAATGGGCATTTAAATATGAAATATGGAGTTAAAAAAGGAAGAAATGCCTGCAGATTCAGTGGTGGTCGAAGGCCGTATATGATAAATGAAAATTTCTCAGAAACGCTGACAAGAAAGAGGTTAAACGTCTGCTAAAAGCCCTAGGAAATTAAAGTCGAGTCTTTTAAAAAACACCTTACTCACTGGATTGAGAGGTTGAATCGAAAGCATGATAATTGAATTTACTAATACTGCAAAGTTATGGGGTATGGCAAGGGCGAAGTGACAGATTTTCAAGATAACCCATTAGATTCTGAAGCTGGTCCTTATTTACCCCTCCGCCTTCCACTGCAGCTCTGGTTACCCACATATTTCCTTTAATGAGTTACATAAGGAAGACCGTGGACTTGTCTCAGCAGGACTGTTCGTACACAGAGGCCTCCGAGTGCGTTTGGAGAAGTATAAACATCTGCCCGGGAGTCCGCCGTGGTGGCTGGAATTCTGTCGTCCGTGGAGGGTAGTATATCTCTAAGGGCAGAGCATTGTCTCTCCTACGCTAAGTTACGTGCCTTGTGCTGCCACCTCTAGTGGCTTCCCTGCTGGCACTAGGCAGAGAGTAGAAGCCACCAAAGAAAGGGAGAATCGGCCCCTTAGATACGCCCATGAACTGTGGAGCCACCAATTAAAACCTATCCCATCTGCCTATCCCAATTATTGCACATTGCCTCGTTTTTCTCACTTTCCTTCAAGTATTTTTCAAACTGGCTTCTCCTTTATACAAAACTTAAAGTCACAGGAATGATGACACATAGCTTTACTCTCTTCCTTCCATTTCAGACAAACGATTGTCAAATACATAAGTATGTGGAGCACTAGGAATCCAAAGATAAATAAGAGATCACACTCCACCACAGGAAAGCATGGTGAGAGTAAATAGATAAATGCTTGGAGAGCATCTAGAAGTGAGTGATTATCCCGTTGGGGACCTGTAGAAAGCCTCCTAGGGAAAGTGACATTTGGGTTCAGTCTTGATAGCTATGTAGGACATCTGCAGGTGAAACAAAAGAAGGCCATCGAAATGAGAAAGAAAAAATACTCTTGAGATGTCACACATGAGCCATTAATACCCAAGTCAAATGAACAGTCATTTAGCAGATGATCATTGAGGACCCGCAGAGTACCGGACACTGGGCGAGGTCAGACCACAGAGGAAAAGGCAGGTAAATCAGAAGACATGTTTTAAGCCCATAAGGAGCTCACGGTTTTCCCGAAAACTAGTAACCGCTGTGGAAAACGGCTGGTCAGAACAACGGTCTGTACGTAAGCACGGCACAAGCAGGCTCAGAACGTGAGGCGTCATTTCGAGAAGAAAGTGTGAGCTGGTCATCTCAAGCGGAGACCCATGCTTCCCAGGGCCAGCGGGAGAGGCGCCCTCAGCTGTTTTGCTTACCCATGGTCAAGAGTGGTCCAAATATATTAAATGAAAAGTTACAGAAATAAACAATTCTTAAGTTTTAAGTTGCATGCTGTTCTCAGTAGAATGATGAAATCTTGCGATATCCCACCCGGAGGCAACTGATCATTTTGTCAAGTGTCTCCGTGCTCGCATGATTGTGGAGGCTGCGAAGTCCAAAATCTGCAGAGCAGGTGAGCAGGCCGGAGCCCCCAGAGAGCGATGCTGCAGTTCCAGTCTGAAGCCAGCAGGCTGGAGAATTCTCCCTTGCTCGGGCGAGGCTGGTCTTTTTATCCTATTGAGGCCTTCAACTGATTGGATGAGGCCCACCCACATTAGGAAGAGCAATCTGCTTTACTCACAGCCTTCAGATTTAAATGTCAGTCTCATCCAAAACACACTCACAGAAACACCAAAATAATGTTTTTCCAGCTATCTGGGCCCCAAATTGACACGTGAAATTAACCCACACCGCCCGTGACAAAGGGGCTTCCAGCAGAAGATACAGAAAATGTTCTCAGAAAGATTCCTCTTAGTCATAGGCATGTGCAACACTGCTCTGGGCCCTGAGGGATGAACCCTAGCCAGAAAGGAGAGAAGCTTTCTTGTCTGTAAGGAAAACAGCAAGGCGTTGATGCCATGAATGCTTTAAGAGTCAGCACCATTTTGATACCTCATGTGTTTTCAGCTCTGTGAACCTGCAAACGAGGCCCCATCTTCAAGAGGTCATTTGTTACACAGCCATAGATATTGAATCTGATTTTAGCCTATACTCATGCCAAATGGCAACAAACTGTGAAAAGTTGCCACATAAGGCAGAGCAAGTATTATTTTGACTTTCCTTCTGCATGTTGACTTGAAGTCCTTTTAATTAAGTAGCAATGATAGTATCCTAAATTCAATAAACAGTTGGTGTACCATAAAGATGCACAGTTCTAGTCATCTTTATGGTACACCAACTGTTTATTGAATTTAGGATACTAAATTAATTTAATTTAATAAGTTAATTTCTTAACTTCTGTGCTAAAAACACTCTTAGACACTCTGATCTGTTAGAACCCGTTTCTCACCTCCAGCGAAGGCCACAGTTGGAAGGTAAGATATGTTCCAATATGGGCAGCAACCTTCTGAACCAGGAAAGCAGATTTTTCTCTTCCTGATCTACTTATTCTGTGAAGAGACAGAAGCAACATTTGCTGCGTAACTGACCTGCTGGCTCGGGTTCCTCTTTGTCCTCAGTCGCTTGTTTTCCCACTTTCTATGTTCTCCCCTGCTGAAGTATTTGGGAAAACAA